AAATTTGGCCGAGTGCGGTGGCTCACGCCTGTAATCCCACCACTTTGGGAGGCCAAGGTGGGTGGATCACCTGAGGTCAAGAGTTCGAGACCAGCCTAGCCGATGTGGCGAAACCCCATCTCTACTAAAAATATAAAAATTAGCCGGGCGTGGTGGCAGGTGCCTGTAGTTCCAGCTATTCAGGAGGCTGAGACAAGAGAATCGTTTGAACCTGGGAGGTGGAGGTTGCAGTGATCTGAGATCATGCCATTGCACTCCAGCCTGGGCAACAGAGCAAGACTCCATTAAAAAAATAAATAAATAAATAAAAATATAAAAATTAGCTGGGCATGGTGGTATGCACCTGTAATCACAGCTACTTGGGAGGCTGAGGCATGAGAATTGCTTGAATCTGTGAGACGGAGGTTGCAGTGAGCTAACACCACTGCACTCTAGTCTAGAAGACAGATCAAGACTCTTTCTCAAAAAAAAAATAAAAAGCATAGCTTTGATGATATTTCTCTTGAGTTTAAAAAACAAGGAAACACACAGCAGCTTTCCATGGTCTCTACATCCTCTAAGTTCAACACTCTTTATATATTAAGGCCCTCTACATCATAAACCGATGAACTTTTTCCAACTCTATCTTACATTTCATGCTTCTAAGCAGCTGGAACTTATCACTTGCTACAGCTTGAATAAGTCCTCCATTTTTCAGCTTATATGACTTTGCAAATTCTTTTTGCCTAGAATATTCTGTATGTCCCAATATATCCCCCTTTTTCCACTAGGGAAATCTACACAAAATTTTAAAAGGCTAAAATACTACTATGTGGTTTTTTTTTTTGTTTTTGAGATGAAGTCTTGCTCTGTCCCCCAGGCTGAGTGCAGTGGTGTGATCTCGGTTCACTGCAACCTCCACCTACCAGGTTCGAGCGATTCTCCTGCCTCAGCCTCCCGAGTAGCTGGGATTACAGGCACACATCACCACACCCAGCTTATTTCTGTATCTTTAGTAGAGACAGGGTTTCCCCATGTTGGCCAGGCTGGTCTTGAACTCCTGACCTCTGGTGATCCGCCCGCCTCAGACTCCCAAAGTGCTGAGATTACAGGTGTGAGCCACCGTGCCCAGTTACTATATGTTTTTTAATGGAAAAAATATATACACACGTACACAACCAAAAAAGCATTAAAAGCTGCAGGAGAATGATATACAGTAACTTTAGGACTGCAGTTTACTGCTGAGGAGAAAGGAAAGAAGGATGAAGAGGACTTGAGCTATATTAGCATTTATTTTCTTTTTAAAAAAATCTGAAAAGATTACAGGAACTACTTACTAATTCACGCTTTGCTTCTTCAATTTTCACTCGAGCAAGAGATGGATTCTTTAAAAGAAAAATAAAACAAGGAAAGGTCATATTGCCTCAATTCAGACTCAAGGAGAAAAATAATGCCACAATCCTTTTCAAAAGGCAAAAAGCCTCCCAGAGGGAAGACCCAATGTACATATAACACTGAAATTGACCACTGACTTTAAACCCTTAAAAACCGATACATTATTTTCTTTCTTTCTTTCTTTTTTTGAGAGGGAGTCTCACTCTGTTGCCCAGGCTGGAGTGCAATGGCGCAATCTCGGCTCACTGCAGCCTCTGCCTCCTGGGTTCAAGAAATTTTCCTGCCTCAGCCTCCTCAGTAGCTGGGATTATAGATTCCCACCACCATGCCCAGCTAATTTTTGTATTTTTAGTAGAGACGGGGTTTCACCGTGCTGGTCAGGCTGGTCTCGAACTCCTGACCTCAGGTGATCAGCCTGCCTCAGCCTCCAAAAGTGCTGGGATTACAGGCGTGAGCCATCACGCCTGGCTTAAACACACTATTTTCATGGTCATATAGTACCCTTAGGGAAGGTTGGAGGAAACAATTTTTTTTTAATACACGAAAATTATTACCGGCATTAAGTCTAAATAGGATTCCAATTTTTTCTTCAAAGGTATAGTCTGTTGCTTTAATCTTGCCAGTTTCTGGGGGTAAAAGAACACAGTCACAGAGTAACAGAAACATTCACAATGCAACTAATACTGCCCATTTCTGAAATAAAACACAACAAAGCATTTACATTAGTATGTTCTAAATAATGTTATCAAATAAAGAGCTTCTAAGATAAATAGATAGACAAACTCACTCCAAATGGAAACAGCACCTGTTAGATGCTTAAAATAGGAAAGTGATATTCTTATTTAATTACTATTTTTTGAGACGGAATCTCTCTGTGTTGCCCAGGCTGGAGTGCAGTGGTACAACCACGGCTTACGGTAGCCTCAAACTCCTGGGCTCAAGCAACCTTCCCGCCTCAGCCTCCCAGGTAGCTGGGAACACAGGCATGCACCACCATGCCTGGCTAATTTTTTTTTTTTTGAGATGGAGTCTCGCTATCACCCAGGCTGGAGTGAGGTGGCGCAATCTCGGCTCACTGCAACCTCTGCCTCCTGGGTTCAAGCAATTCTCCTGCCTCAACCTCCCAAGTAGCTAGGACTACAGGCACGTGCCACCACCCCAGCTAATTTTTTGTATTTTTAGTAGAGATGGGGTTTCACCATGTTAGCCAGGATGGTCTCGTTCTCCTGACCTTATGATCCACACACCTCGGCCTCCCAAAATGCTAAGATTATAGGCATGAGCCACCGTGCCCAGCTCTTTTTTTTTTTTTTTGAGATGGAGTCTTGCTCTGTCACCCAGGCTGGAGTGCAGTGGCACGATCTCAGGTCACGGCAACCTCTACCTCCCGGGTTCAAGCGATTCTCCTTTCTCTTGTCTCAGCCTCCTGAGTACCTGGGATTACAGGCATGTCCCACCACACACAACTAATTTTAGTATTTTTAGTAGAGACAAGGTTTTGCCATTTTGGCCAGGCTGGTCTCAAACTCCCAACCTTATGTTATTCGCCTGCCTTGGCCTCCCAAAGTGCTGGGATTACAGGAATGAGCCACCGCGCCTGGCCTAGTTTTTTTTTAACTTTTTGTAGAGCTAGAGTCTTGATTTGTTGCCCAGGCTGGTCTCAAACTCTTGGGCTTAAGTAATCTTCCTGCCTCTGCCTCCCAAAGTACTGGGATTACAGGTGTGAGCCACCATGCATGGTCTTCACTCCCATTTATTAACAATAGGATTGAAGTATGCTGTCTAAGAATACAAAAGAATGTGATTAAGAGGAATCAAAACCTAAAGGAGGCTGGGTGTGGTGGCTCACACTTCTAACCCCAGCACTTTGGGAGGCCAAGGTGGGAGGATCACTTGAGCCAAGGAGTTTGAGACCAGTTTGGGCAACATAGCAAGACCCCCATCTCTATTTATTAAAACAAGGGAAAAAAATGTAAAGGAAGAACTAGAGTCCCAAATACATATTTATGAATTGTCAACATTAGATTCCAAGAACGAAGTATGAAAAATGTTAAGAATAATAAAACAAAACAAAACCTGCTATTTCTCACTCTTCCCACCAAAACAGGCAAAACCTTTATATAACCTAAAATCCCAGAATTGCATTTGGTAACTACAGGAGTTTGGAGACCTGCATTTTACTGTCTACTGAAAGAGAAGAAAGGGGAGCACCTAGATGATTAGCTTACGGTCCTTTAATAAATCTGTCTAATAAATACATCCATAATACATAAGTGACTCCAGCAGAGTTTCTAACTTATAATAAAAATGAAACCACGGAAATGTGAGGGCATATACAGCTAAACATGGAATAAAAGATATAAATACCAGTGAATATAGAGTACAAAGGTAAAGGAAAAGAAATCAGGTCCACAGTGAATAAAAGCCAAATAAAAATAAACAAATGAAAAAGCAGATCGTGGAGTAAAATTTTAAAGAAAGTTAAATTAAGTTAAAATAAGCTCACCTCCGACAGTGCTACTAGGGACTGATGAGACAGAGAAGCATCCATGCCTCTGGCTGAAAGTTGCTCCTACAATTACCAAAAAAAGGAGTTCAGTTAAAAAATTATTTCAAAAGTGACCACCATCAAATATTTTTAACATATAACACAGTAAAGAGGAGCTACAAAGTATAAATGAAAAACTGTACATGTATCTAAGCATTTGCACCTTACATGTGAATCCTTTCCACACTCATGCATTTGTGACAAGATGGGTACAGTGTGTAAGGCCTGAGTTTCAGAGCCTGGATGCCTGAGTTTGAATCTAGATCTGCTTACTATGCTGGCTACGTAATCTTAGGCAAGTTACCAACTTCTCCGTAGTCCTCTCATCTGTAAAAAGGGAATAATAATGCCTAGCTGTGAGGGTGATGGTAAAAAATAAGGATGAAGAGAGCTAACTATATTCAGTCCTTCATACAAACCTCTGCAGCCTTGATTCCAAATCTGAATTCCTCTGACTTTGCTTTTAGAAAGTCCATGTTCTGACGACGATTATCAACTTTGGCCCTTTCTATAGACAGATGCAACTCTGCTTTCTTGACATCCCTTTAAAAAGCAAAATTAAAAACATTTTCTTCTTCTCCTCAGTAAAAGTATTGTACAATAGAAACTCTACTACTTTTGGATTCAATGCTGGCTTGGCCAAGAGTTGGTAATCAGGTCATCTTTCCCTCCATGTTGCACTCTGGGCTTTTTTTTTTTTTTTTAAGAGATGAGGTCTTGGTCTGTCACCCATGCTTGAATGCAGTGGTGTGATCACTGCAGCCTCAAGCTCCTTGGCTCAAGTGATCCTCCCACCTCAGTCTCCCATATAGCTAGGGCTACAGACACATGCCACTACACCTGGCTAATTTTTAAAATTTTTGTAGATGGCCAGCCACAGTGGCTTACATTTATAATCCCAGCACTTTGGGAGACCAAGGTGGGCAGATCACCTGGGGTCAGGAGTTCGAGACCAGCCTGGCCAACATGGTGAAACCCTGTTTTTACTAAAAATACAAAAATTAGCCAGACATGGTGGCATGCACCTATAATCCTGGCTACTGGGGAGGCTGAGGCAGGAAAATCACTTGAACCTGGGAGATGGAGGTTGCAATGAGCTGAGATTGTACCACTGCACTCCAGCTTGGACGGTAGAGTAATGCTCCATCTCAAATTTAAAAAAATAATAAAATAAATAATTTTTTTGTAGAGACAGTCTCACTATGCTGCCCAGGTTTACAACAATTTTACAATTAATGTAAGCCAATTATTCTTGAAGAAAGTAAATCAGCCATTCAAAAAAAAAATTGGTGCTCACTTCGGCAGCTCATATATTAAAATTAGAACAATACAGAGAAAATTAGAATGGCCTCTGCACAAGGAAGATGTGCAAATTTGTGAAGCGTTCCATATTTTGTTTTGTGGCTTATCTAGAAATAATATGGAAAATATTGCTGTTATTTTTGGCAAAGAAAGTCAATTTTGTATAGTTTATTTCAACCTAAATAAACTGTGAATTTTGTTTAAATAATAATAATAATAATTTAACATATCCTGAAGTCAATTTGAAATAGGAGGTCCTAAAAACCTCTTTACTAAATGTGACATGAAGTTCAAGACCAGCCTGGCCAACATGGTGAAACCCCATCTCTGCTAAAGATACAAAAAAATTAGCTGGGTGTGGTGGCAGGTGCCTGTAATCCCAGCTACTTGAAAGGCTGAGGCGGGAGAAACACTTGAACCTGGAAAGCAGAGGTTGCAGTGAGCTGAGATCATGCCACTGCACTCTAGCCTGGGTGACAAGAGAGAAACTCTGTCTCAAAAACACAAATTAAACAAATAAATAAATAAAGATAAATGTGACAACACAGTGCCTTGCACATATGTAGTCAATATTTGTTGAATAAATTTACATACCGCCAAATTACTTGTGCATATGTACACATACCCCTGATCTATAGGCCCTAATCTCTGGGGCAAAAAGGACCTGAAAAAGGCCTAAAGCATCATAAGAGGGATACCACAGCTATAGCAAGAATGCACAACAAAAAAGTTGTATGGTAGTTTATAAGTATAAAAAAAATCACATAGAGTTTGAAAATTCTAAAACCCACATTATTTGTTTTTTAAAAAAAGGCAAGAGGCTGGGCATGGTGGCTCATGCATATAATCCCAGCATTTTGGGAAACCAAGGCAGGTGGACCACTTGAGGTCAGCAGTTCAAGACCAGCCTGGCCAATATGGTGAACCCTGTCTCTACTAAAAACACAAAAATCAGCTGGGTGTGGTGGTGCGCACCTGTGCTCCCAGCTACTGGGGAGGCTGAGGCAGAAGAATTGCTTGAACCTCGGAAGTGGAGGTTGCAGTGAGCCGAGACTGCAACATTGCACCACTCCAGCTTGGATGTTGCAGCGAGACTCCATCTCAAAAAAAAAAAAAAAAAAAAAAAAAAAAAAAAAAAAA